AGGATAAGTGTGTGCTTCCCAATCTAGCATACTTCCCTCTAAGAAACTGAAAGGCTGCATTCTTGAAAGTTAAATGCAAGAGAAACTGAAGGTATTTGAGAAGATCTGAGTGTGTGCCATGGGACAGAGAATTCTCCTGGTGGTGGTTATGACATTAGCTAACTAAACCGATTATTTTTTTAAATTTGCTACAGGGCATGTGCACTTACTGGAGAGAGACAGAAAAAGGGAAAATCAGAAATTCCCTCCCAGTGGGGATGGCCACAATATACTCCCTTCTCCATTTTCCTCTCGGGACTTTGGGCACTCATTCACAGCACCCCATGTGATTTTCAAGCTGCTGGGTCTGGGACTCAAACTACATGTTTGATCATGTGGGATTGTTCTAACCTTCATGCCACCTGCTGTCCCTCTTCTGATTCTTAATTGGGTAGTTTAGGATTACGTATATATTTGACTGCTGTAACAAGGCAATTCTCCATATTGTCTCTCATCTTAAACTATTGGGTGAAAGTTTGACCCTGAACATTAATGTTGGAAGGGTTAGACCTCAGAGGTTTTTTAGTCGCAAGTTCTTTAAACTGGGATGTTTAATCTGACAATATTCTAAGCCATACCGTAAAAGTGAAATATTAATCCTTGAACTTAGTGGAGAAAACTTTAGTCAATTAGTCGTTTTTTAAAATAGACATATTTGACTAGAATGCAAAATGTGTAGGTCTTTAAGATAAATGAGTCTTCACAAAAGTTTGTCTTTGAGAGAGTGATATTAAACTGGACCTCTAACCTCAGGAGCCCTCCTTGTTGTTTATGCTCTGTTCTTTGAAAGATCTGTTTGCATTTGATTATTCATTCACAGTTCCATGGAATAGACGCTAGCTGTCCTGTTTAGAGTTTTGGGGTTGTTTTAAGGATATTACGAAATACCGCAGCTTGAGTAAACTACATAGCAATGGTTGAAAAACGTGATGATAGTGGTAGCAGAAATTTTCTTTCGGTTTTAGAATAAAATGTATCAGTCCCTTCAGGATTGTAGTAATAGTTTAAACAGTAATTCCAACTAAGGGTAAGAAACCTTTTTTTTTTTTTTTTTTAGTGTTTGCTATAAGGCGTATGTGCTCATTGAGCAGAGAGGGAGAGAGACAGAAGTGAGAAATCGTTCTCCTGGGAGGATGGCAACATCACAGTCTCTTCTCCTCCAGCCCTCTCTCAGGATTTTAGGTACACATGCACAGCGTGTTTTTCAGGCCACCTGGTCTAGGATTTAAACCATGTAGTCACTCATGTGAGATCCAAATGTCTTAATCACCATGCCACAAGGTGGCCCACACTTTATTGTATCTTTAGCGTAGATGGTAAGAAAGCTATCTGGCTGTAAATTAAAACAAGGAAATGTGTTTCAGGTGGGTTGAAGTCTTTTGTAAATGGGTCTTTGTCATGAGTGGCCTTGAAAATGCAAACGTGCACTTGAGTTCATTACTACAGAATAATTATGATGGAGATTATAAAATTCTTCACAAACAAGGCTATAAGAATATTTTCATTATGACTTTTTACTGATCAACATTTCTGGGCCTGCTCCACAACCTGCTAGTTAAAGGAGCTTGATCTTACATAGCCAACTGAGGTTTGAGTTTCAATCCTAGCAGTTTAAAAAACATGCCAAACATACACATACATGTGTTCCCCAAATCCTGAGCAGATAGAGAAATGGAGATGGGATTGTGGCATGGCCATACTCCATAAGTATATACTTTTTTTCTCTCTCTCTCTGTTTCCAGTGAGTGTACGTACCCTCTAGATTAGCAGTGTTTTCACTGCATTGCTAATCTAGAAGAAAAGAGTTGCTATAAAGTATGACCACTGGGGGGAGTACAGTCGTTTTCACGTTTTCTGTTAAAATGACAGTTTGTGCCATGAATTTATTTCCGTTGAACCATTTAGCATAGCCTCAATTAAGCAAATTTCAGTTTAGAAAGTTTTAAATAAATACTTAAATTTTTTAAAGAATTATTTAACTTTATGTATTTATTTTATTTTATTTTAATTTAACCAGAGAGGGACAGAGCAAGAGAGAGAGGGAAAGTGAGAAAGCAAGCCGCCAGGTCCAGGACTTAAACCACAGTCAGCCATGTGGGAGTTCCACATCCTTAACCACCATGCCACCTTCTTTCCCAATACTTAACACTTTATAAAAATCCTTTATATCTAGTGTTGTATATTTATGGGATTAGTAGTGGAAAAAGTAGAAATAAAGGTATATATTTTACTTAGTATCATTATCAATTGTGGAATCTGAATAAGATCCTTCCTTTCTTAACCAAGCATTTTTAAGACTTGGAAAAAAAACTTCAACTTCTCACTTTTTTTTTTTTTCCTTTTTTGGGGGGGCCATAGGGTGTATGTGCTCCCCAAGAGACAAAAGGAAAAGTGAGAAATCACTCCCTATGGGGAAAGGCATGTTGCAGTCCCTTCTCCTCTATCCTCCTCTTGAGATTTTAGGCATGATGCGCCTGCTGTGATTTTCAAGCTGCCAGGTCCGGGACTTGAACTGCAGTCACCTATGCTTCCACATGCCTTTTAAAAGATCATTGAAAATACTATGCAAAAGTAAAAAGTTGTTCTTAGTATTCAGCCATTCATTTTAATCCTGTAGAAAAAGCATTTGACAACACAGTAGATTTTTTTAAATCATAGGGATGATTAAGAATTATTGGTTGTGATTTTAACATTTATTGACCAAGACTAAAAAGTGCTGTCATGCAGGGGATTTACTGGGACCGAAACATCAGGTACAGCCTTGGATGTCAGAGTGACCTACCAGTCACCAGAAGAAGCTGTGTGTGCCTGGTGACCACACAGATGTTTAGATGAGCTCACCTCTTCATGGGTCCATGGTACATTGTCCCTTGCAGTCAGGACATTCTGTGAGTCATTGATCAAAACAGTGAAACAATACCAAGATTGGCAGGAAACCCAAATGACTGGCCTAGGCCTGTTGGTTGTGTAAGAGGCGTTTCAGGTGAACCTTGCCTGAACATAGTCCATACACACTGGCCTCTGCCCTCCTGGGTGTCCACCACCCTCCAGTTAGGCCTTTCCTCCAGTTTCTTGTCAGCTTTCTTCCCCTAGCACACACTCTCTTGGTATTAGCTTGGCTAATAATGATCTTAAAAAAAAAAAAAAAATCGAACCATAAATTGGGAGGTGTCTTATCTTTGTTAATTGAGTTTCTCCATATTTAAATGTGTTTGAATTAATGAGGTTTTCTTTATTCACATTCACTCTTTTGCATACAGTTTTCCTCTTCTGCCATCCATCTGCACGTTTCCTCATCTCTTCCATATTTTATTTCCTCTACCCCTCTCACTTTTCTTTTCCTTCCCTTCGTCTTCATCTTAGGTTGTTTCTCCATAATCTCCCTTTCTTGTTCTCTCCTCACCTCCTCTTCTCTGACTTTTCATTTCCCTTTCCTTTTTTTCCCCCACTGGTAGCACCCCAATAGAATAATGAAAAAGCCTGTTGTCTTCAGTTCTTCCTTGTGTAGAACTTTGTGTCTGTATTTTTTTTAGAACTTTGTGTGTCTTGTATGTCCATATCCGCCTACTCCTGCTGTTCAGATGGTCTCAGGGCCCTAGAGCCATGTTATTCAGTGGAAATAGTGTGAATTACGTGTCTGATTTTAAATTCTGTATAGCATATTAGAAAAGAAAACACCATGTAAACTCAATTGTAATAATGTATTTAACTCATTATATTCAAAATATTATCACTTGGACATGGAATTTTGTATACATATATATGTAAACTATTTTATTCTAAATCTTGAAATCCAGTGTTTATTTTATGCTTAGAGCAGATTGCAGTTGATATTAACCTGATTACAAATGTTCAGTAGCCTCCTGTGGTGAATGGTTATTTCCAATGAATAGCAGTCAGTATAGACAGTGGTTTGAATAAAATATTATGTTTAGGGACCAGCAGATAGCGAGAAAATTAAGGTAGCTGATCCAACATGGCCAGCCATGCAGTTCGAGTCCCAGACCCAGCAGCTTGGGAAGCATGTCGGGTGCATGTGGATGTGTGCCCAGAATCCTGAGAGAATGAAAAAGAAGGGGTTAAAGCATCCCCCCCACCCCTTGTCTCAGGCAAGTGAAGGCATTCTGTGGTTCGAAAAATATTTTAACTTACAAATATTTTAACTTACAAATCAAGTATATTTACCAGATATTTTTAAAGTCTATTTTTAGGAAAACTCAAAATTACTTTATGTTGATAAATCAACATAAAGCTGGGAAGGAAATAATTAGGAATGTTGGAATTGTTTAGTGTCATATTGTCATACTCTTTTATTTTAAAAATGTTTTTTAAAATAATTATTTATTTTACTTATTTATTTTAATTTGACCAGAGAGGGACAGAGAGAGAGAGAGAGAGAGAATGTGTGTGTGTGTTTGTGTGTGTGTGTGTGTGTGTGAGAGTGTGAGAAAGAGAGAGAGAGAGAGAAAGCCGCCAGGTCTAGAACTCATACTGTGGTCAGCCATGAGGAAGTCCAGCACCCTTAACCACCATGCCACCTGCCAGCCCACATATTGTAATACTCTTGAAGTCAGATTTTGTTTGTTGGTTTTAGTGGGAAGCAGAATATCTTCCAGAATTGTGAAAATATATTGGGTCATGCCAGTATGACAAAGTAAAAGCGCTTAATAGTTGGGCTCTTAAAGGCACATATAACCTAGCTGACTTTGAGAAGCTTACTAATGCTCAGAAAATATATTTGCCTGCATGATTAGGTTAAATAAGATTACTTTCCCATATGTGTAGCTGTTTTTATTTCTAAAAATTAAGGATGAGATTGGTTTAGAGAATCATTAACTCAATCCCTGTCTTGTGTGATGGAAGCTGCATTGCTGTCATGTGATTGGGCAGGACTTGGTACCTATCAGTGTAAACATATGGCACAGCCTGTCCCATGCCCTCTGCTTATCTCCTTTGGGAGAGAACAGGTTGAGGCATTTTGAGCAAATCTCATTGGTAAAGTCTGTGCATTGCTTTTTTTTTAAGAACCATTTCCTTTCAGTTTTAACCATATCACTGTGTCTGCAAATAGTTTGAACTCAGTTTGTCAGCAGAGGAGCTTTCTGTTTGATACCTTCATTTTTTTTAAAAAAAAAAAAGACATACTCAATTAGCTAGTTTGATTTTAAGATGTTTTACTTAGAAGATGATAGTGAAGATGAGGATGAGAAGGCTCATGAAGGCTCATTAAATAAAACTCAAGGTGTTTACCATGGCAAGGCCCCTCCTGGCATCCTGGTGAGTTACATCCGCAATTGTCCCTGTTCCCTTGCTTGCTTGCTCAATCTGGGTAGTACAGAGAGAGGAGGGGAGGACACCCACCAAAAAGAAAATAGCTAATGGATTTTCTTTGGAAAATGTAATGTTATGGTAAATTTTATTAACTTTTAAATGGTATATTGAACTGAAATATTTGGTTGACTGCCTTCTCTCATTTACTCTATGCCATCTTTACACCTTTTTCTATTTATTATTTAATACATCTTTCTGTGTAGGAAAATATTGAAGTTGCTGCTTTAAGAATTAAAAACTTAAATTTTAAAATAATGGAATTGATTTCACATTCTCTTTGCATTGAAGTGCACTAGTTGGAGAATAATAAGCATTGAAAAGTTTTTTTTATTTTCCTAGCCAAAATTTTTTGAAAGCTAAACTAATATTTCGAAAATGGCATTTTATCCTGATATATGATAGAGAAGCATGATTGCAGTCTTTTTTATCCGTAATTGCAAACAGAAAAGTTTTGTAAATTTGAAATCTGTGGGGGAAGTACAAATTAAATTTTGTACTCTAAAGTTCTCTTGTTACAAAATATAAAATAGAGCAAATTATATAAGCTTAGTGTAAATTCCAGAAGTCTGCATTAAGGAAACAACAGTATAATCTGTTCTACCTGTGAAACATTTTCTTTACAGATAAAACAAAGTACATTCTTATTTTTAAGAGTGTTTTAGGGCCAGCCCTGTAGCCTAATGGTTAAGGGACCAGATCCCACATGGCCGACTACAGTTCAAATCCCAGTTTCTGGTGACTTGGAAAACACATTTTGGGTGTGTGTTTGTGTGTGTGTGTGCCTTCCCCAAATCCTGACAATATGGAAAAATGGAGAAGGGATTGCAGCATGATCACACTTCACTGGGGGTGCTTTCTTTCTCTCTTTTTCTCCCTCTCTCTTTCATGAGCACATGTGACCTCTGACAGTTAAAATTTAAGGTATTTTTAGAAAGTTAAGGATGAATATTTTTATGAAAACAAATTAAAAACCAAGACAAATTAGTCAAATTTCTAAAGTCTGTGGTTCATTATCTGGTTAATTTTAGTTTAAGAACTTTTAAGAGTAACACAGTTTTTATTGTCACTTTTAAAATTATTACATTTTGTATGCTTTTTTGCTTGTAGATCTGTTGGTAAAAGTATATTTTTTCAGAGTTCTCAGAACTGATGGAAAGATGTTATTTGAATACTGTGGAAGGAAGTCAGATGCTACTAAGGGAGACTGTTTACTTTTGAAATCTACATTTTAATATTAAGAAAGAGCATGAGGGACCATGTGTATGTATGTATATATGAGCTCATGCACATTTGTTGCGAAGGTCAGAAGGGAGGAGAGTGATTGTAGCTGACTTTATGAAATATTTTTAAAAACACTTAGTAGCACTAACACAAACTGTCCATCACAGGAAGTTCTTAGACTTGCTGCTGGTGTTTTCCAGAGGGAGGTCAACGGGTGTTTGCTTAGGCTGCATTTTATTAACAGTTCCCTTTTATGTTATTATTAGATCGTTGAAACCCCGTGAGTCACCTTCCACTCAATGAGAAGTATTTTATTCATGGCTAGTGTTTGGGAACTGGATTTGATATCTACTTAATAAGCTGTAATGATTATATAAGAGTTTGATTTTAAAACTTGGGTGTGTATGTGTGGTGAGAGGGAGGAGGAGAATCCTGGTGTTCAGTTCAGGCTTTCAGTGATCTGGGTTCTATTTAAAAGGCATATCCTTTTCAGGCACACCTCTTACTGGAAAGTGATAGTTTCAGTTTTCAAGAACTCTTTGCTCGTGGTTTTAGGTGTTTGGGATATAAATGTTTATATCGCTTGCTTTTTAAAAAAATCTGAGAAGATTCTGCATTTTGTTAGAAATTGGGGATTTTAAAGTCATGTTTCCATTTTTTTTTAAGTAAGTGAAAGTAATTCTAATTCCTTTATTTGGTAAGGGAAAAGCAAATTAATTTTTAAGTTATTTATTTAATTTCTATTTGTTGTTGTTGTTGTTATTTTAATTTGATCAGAGAGAGGGAAAGTGAGAGAACAAGCTACCAGGTCCGGGAGTTGAACCATGGTCTGCCATGTGGGAATTCAGTGCCTTTAGCCACCACACCACTGCCAGCCCCAAAAGCAAATTTATTTTATATTTAAATACTCCAAAGTTCCAAAATAATCTATTGACCTTATTTTTCCCCCATTTATACACATACACACGTATGTATGTATTCTTATCCTTTGGGTAGATACCTAGGCACTGGTTGCTGGCTCGTATATGGTAGTTCTATTTGTAGGTTTTTCAGGAGCCTCCATATTGTTCTCCACAGTGGCTGTAATAATTTACTTTCTCACCAGCAGATTTAAAAAATTAATGATAAGTGCTGATGAGGCTGCAGTGAAAAGGGAACTCACCCCTATTTATTTTAAATTCCCTAGAATGCATTTTTTAAAGTTTGGGTAGAATGTGCTACAGTAGTTCTTAGCCAAACTTGTAATCCTAAGAAATGGGTTACAGAAGCAGTGTCTTTCTGTGGTCAGAGCTGACAGAGACTTTAGGTGTAATCTGCTGTTTTACTGGAGAGAACCCTGGCACGTAGGTTGCCCAAACCAGTTCTTGGTTTAAGTGAGACTTAACCTTGGTCTTCATGTCCTCCCCAGGTACGGGAGACTTGGGAAGTACCAAGGATGGTGCGTCACTGTCCTTGGCTCCTCTAAGCTCTTTATCAGAGAACCTGGATACCTCTTGTTGACTTGAAAAAGTTCAACCAAATTTAATAACATAAACAGTGGTCAGAGGTAGCAGGTCACCCTGTAAGTGTGGCATGTGACATGAGGTAGAATACTTTATACTAAGTTGGAAAACCTTGAGTCCATGTGGGTAGGAGCGACATTGCAGGTACAGGGTTTGGGAAGCCCCAAAGCCCCTCAGCACTTTGTCATTACTCCTTGCTGTCTGAAATCCTAGAACAGCACTAGGTGAACAGATATGAATCTAGTTTTCTTCCATTCTAGCATGGGCAGTGTTCACAATAATTAAATAATTTGAATAGAATTTTATTTCTTCACAGAGATAATGTTATTAAACTCAGTCATCTCATAATTAATTGTAGAACTTAACTAACCTGAGTTGGAGCTAGGGCAGTACAAGATTGGGGACATTACTAGTTAAGATGATTTAAAGGAGTAACTTCTCTTAAATAAAGTTTTCACAGCATGCTTGCCTCTTTCAATCCTGAATTTTGAGGAGAGTAACATTAGTACTGTAACCATGAATGTGCCCAGTCTTTGAAAATTATTTATTGGGACCAGTAGTTGGCATAATGGCTATGTTGCTGGACTCCATTATAGTTGACCGTGGTTCAAGTTCTGAACCCGGTGACTTAAACTCACACCGGGCGTGTGTGCTTGCATGCCCAAGATGCTGGGGGGAGAATGGAAAAGGGATTGTGGCATGGCCATCCCCCTCTGAGGGGGCAGATTTCTTGCTTTTTGTCTCTCTGTCTTTTTGACGATCGCATGCACCCTATAGCAAAAACCTCTCCAAACAAAAAAGAAAATTATTTATTATCCATTTTTATATTTATGGCCCCATGTATTTTCAGTAAGGTAAGACATTGAGGTGACTTATATTTAAAACACATGCACGCACACAACTGCGTCCCAGGACTGTACAGTGCATGGCTAAACTTAATAGTTTAATGAAAACAAAATTACCTTCATTCATGAAGTATTTATTTTTTCCACAACTAAGTAGTTGTTTAAAAATAATTTTTTTGCTTTTGTTTACTAATGCGTTTGAAATATTTGTTACTCTGCATTTATTTTATTATTATTATTATTATTTATTTTTTAGAAAAATTTTTGCTATAGGGCACGTGTATTCACTGGAGAGACAGAGATAGAAAGTGAGAAACCACCCCCTGGAGGGATGGCCATGCTGCAATCCCTTCTTCTCCATTCTTTTCTCAGGATTTTGGGCATGCACTTACCCAGTGTGAGTTTCAAGCTGCTGGGTCTGGGACTCGAACTGCAGCTGGCCATGTGGAAGTCCAGCAATTTAACCATTAAGCCATCTGCTGGTCCCACTACTCTGGGTTTATTAACACCACTACTAGGGCCAGCAGGTATCGTGGTGGTTAAGGTGCTGGACTCCCATATGGCCCTCTGTGGTTTGAGTCCTGGACCTATAGCTTGCTTTCTCATGTTCTTTCTCTTCCTGTCTCTCTGGTGAACACACATGTCCTGTAGCAAATTTAATTTAAAAAGAAATAATGATAATAAACGAAATGTATAAATAATTCTTTAAGAAAAAAGGCAAACACTACTAAGCATTTCTAGAAAATGGCTATATTAGCTGAGCTAATATAGCCAGGGTGAGTCCTGTATTGTGGGTGATCCATGTGTGAGTTAGTTGGCTTTGTGCACAGGCAAATACTCGTAACCCTATCACTTTGCCTTTGAACATCCCAGTGTCAGACTTCTAGCCTGGTCTAGAGTTGGACACAGCTTTCTGAAAGGGCCGTAAGTAAAATTCTTCTCTTGGGAAAGCACTGACTTTAGACTGTTTATGTGTTACATTTATATTTTAGGTAGTAAGTATTCAAAACCAACTGAGCTCAACTGGAAAAAAATGATAGACACAGATTCTAGAGTATATGCTTTATATTTGTTTTTACAGACTTTTATCTCATTGAATGTAGAACAGTTTTTGTTACTTTTCATAGTTTGCTCTAGAAGAAATTTTTTTAACTTGTCTTTTGAAGCTTATTGTATAATCTAGAATTATCTAAGCTCTCACATTTTGTTTAAAACACTGCAGGAAGGATATTTTTCAAAGGGTAGGAACAAATAATGCTGATTTTATTTTACTAGAATATTGTTTTAGGGCCAGTAGATGGCATAGCGGTTACATTGCCTGACTCCCACATGACTGACCGTGGTTCAAGTCTTGGACCCAGGGGCTTGAAACTCACAC